ATATTGCAGCAACATTCAAACGAAATCAGTCGCGTTGGGCCTCCTCAACACAAGCCAGATGATCGTCCCCATCTCGGAACAACAAGAGGTAGGCTTTGCTGTCCTCCCAGAGCTGAAAAGCCCTGAGAGTGGCTCTGTTTTGACAACGAGCCACCGCTGCCACGCGGGGAGATGGTTATAGAGGAAGCTGAGCCTTATCAGTGCTTCCCCAGAAAAATCCAAGTGTCAACCTTGGAGATACAGCGAGCTCCGCTCCTCTCCCACGCTGATTATGCTGTAACTTGACGGTAATTGGGCTCTATTTAATAATTACTGTTACTCTGTAATTATCACTTTCTGATTTTTCTCTTTGTTAACGTTTGCCGGGGAGGGGGAGAGGCTTTTCTGCTGTGCCAGAGAGCTAAAGATGTCTCAGATTCAAGACGACATGGATGTGCCGCTTGCTGCGGCAGTGTTTAACCAGGCACGGATCAAAACACATTTCTAAAGTCACTCGTGTCACAGCTGGCAGTGAAATGCTGGGGGCTGTTCCCTTGCTGCTTCTGCCCCCAGCTAACCAGACACAAGCTCCCATACTCACCGAGGGGCTAATTAAAGAGTGCAGGTAAGCAGGGAGTGCTTCTTAAGAAGCCATTATTATTGAAATGAGACAGCAAGGGAGGCAGGGTGGAAGGATCCTTAATGAAATGGGGGAGGAAGGGAATTAGAGGGAGAACAAAGTCAAAGGGGGAAGAAACAGTCTAGGAAAAGGAGGGGGACCTGACTGATGGAAGATGTGGTGGAGGCGCAGAAAACAAAACAGCAATGTTCTTGCTTTAACATCTGATTTTCTCCTCTACCCTCGGAGTCTGAAGAGCTCAGACACCCTCACTCCCAAAGGCTCCAAGCGAATGGTCCAGCATCCAGGGGCTAAAACATGGTTTATGTTCATCCTAGACTGCTCTCAGCTGTGCAAGTCCCAGCTTAGAGAGCCTAGCTCTTGCTCCAGGGGCCAGAGCAGCCCTTAGTGTGCCAAATCCTTCCGTAACCAGCGAGAGCCGGCAACACGTTCCAGACAAGCTGCTAACCAAGCACAGCCTAAGGGCTCCAGGAAAGGTGGCTGCATACTTGTCCAGACTTGCAGGATAATTTGCTGGAGCAACAGAGAGACAGTCAGAGGTGAGCCTAAGAGTTATCCCAGCAAGGCCATTGCCTCCTTCCTGCGCAGCCCACCAGGAACGTGAGTTTCCCTACGCAGCACGGCCCCGTCCCACCAAGCGCAAGGCAGCATTATCTGGTTCTCCCAGTGGCATTTATGCCCAAGGAAGCAGTTGCATTTGGCTTATGCCTGCTTAGCAGCCTTGGCCCGATGGCCTTTTGGACGTGGGCAGTGGCAAAACCAGCCTCTCCCCACAGGCACAGCTGCGTTTTTACTTCACGGACTACAGAGGAGAGGCTCAGCAGACCACCCAAGCCTCTGCTTTCTCAGATGAAGTCACCAGGAAAGTGGAATTCGAGCCCTTGCATTTTTGTCTTTTGCAGAAAGCATTCTTCCGTGGGTCAACTAGAGAGAGCAGCAACGCAGATCTCCACTGCCCGCCTGGGCTGGATCTCAAACCCCGAGTTACAAAACCATGTATCTGAACCCCTTGAGCCATCTGGAAGATCACTCTGGCTATTCCACGCTTATTAATACAAACTCCTGCCCAGACAGAGAGTGCAATATCCACGTTATCCTCAAACTCCTCAGAAAAATAGGCAACTGCAATAGTGTACCTGCTTCCAGCTCTCCCCGAGACCATCCCACCACCCTTTTCCCAACCCCGTCTCAATCAAAGGCATTGCTGGTGAAAGGTGTAATCTTCTCCAGCGAGACAGCCATTTCACACTCCACGTGCATCACTGCAGGCAAGGCATCCGCAGGGCAGGTGGTGCGAGAGGGCTCGGAGACCTGAGAAACCTTGTCAAAGGAGACCTCGCTGCTTTCCATCTGCAGAGCAGCATGGGGGAGAAGCTGGGGGTAGCTGAGGGCCACCACTTCCTTCTGATACGTAGTGTCATGGTGGTAGGAGACCAGCTCATTGCTGAAGTTCACTGTCTCCACTGCATTGCTGGGGCAAAGGCAGCCGCAGCCCAAAATGGTTGCAAAAGCTCTCCGGAAGTCTGCATTGAAGGCGTAGATGATAGGATTGAGGGAAGAGTTGGCCCACCCAAACCAGACAAAGATGTTGAAGACGGTCTCGCTGACACAAGGTAGCTCTCCTGGCTCACGCAGGTCAAGATTACAGAAGGGCACCATGCAGTTGAGCACGAAGAAGGGCAACCAGCAGAAGACAAATACGCCCATGATGATGAAGAGGGTCTTGAGGACCTTGGTCTCCTTCTTGAAGGAGTTCTTCAGGGAGGCCTCATGAGGGCAGTCGCTGCTGTGGCAGTTTTGGGCATGTTCCACTGCCCTCTCCAGCGAGGAGATCCTGCGGATCTGCCGCTGGGCAATGCGGAAGATGCGGGTGTACGTCACAATCATGATGGCAACAGGGATGTAGAAGCTAATGAGAGAAGATGAGATGGCGTAAGTCCTGTTGAGGCTGGAATCACAGTTCTCCTCCTCCCCCGTGACATTAAAACCTGGCTCCTGTTGGCTAAGGAGCTCAAGATCCTTGTGCCACTTCAGCTGCACAGGGATGAAAGAAATCAAGAGGGACAGTAGCCAAGCCACCCCAATCATGATGAAAGCCACGCGCTGTGTCATCTTCCTCTCATAGCAGAAGGGGTTGGAAATAGCCCAGTAACGGTCCATGCTGATGATGCACAAATTGAGGATAGAGGCCGTGGAGCACATGATATCAAAAGCCACCCAAACATCACAGAAAGCCCCAAAGGGCCAGAACCCTGCCACCTCGGTGGCTGCCTTCCAGGGCATCACCAGTACAGCCACAAAGAGGTCGGACACTGCCAAGGAGATAACGAAGAAATTAGTGACCTTCGAGCGCAAGTGTCTGAACTTGATCACAGCCACACATACCAGGGTGTTGCCCAGGAGCGTGGAGAGGATGAGAAGGAAAAGTAAGGCAGCTGTCACCACACGGAAGGACAACCGGGAGTTGCCTTCCTCTGCCCAGCTCTTCCTACTGCTGGTGTCATTGATCACACCTTGCCCATCTCCTTCTGCGGGGGAGTAAAAACCATCCATGGGTTCCCCTTAGTTCCAGTCCCTTGAGAGAGGCTTCACTACTGTTCAGGTCCCCACCAGCATCCAAAGCCTTTTTACTGCTCTGCTGACATCTCAGAAGCACCGGCCGCAATCCTCCCAGCTCTCACACCCAGCCAGGTGACCCGGCACAGGGAAAAGTGCTTGAAGCTCTCACTCCTTTCCAGATCTCCTGCTGACGGTGTGGCACTTGGGGTTTTTTTTCTCCTCTTGCCTCCCACCCCACTTCTCTTTCTTTGCAGCCTGCCACTCACAAAGAGACAGCACTCACCTCCGGCACTCGAGCGAGCTGGGAGGGCTTTGCTGCAAGCCTTCCTCCTCTCCTCTCTCAGAAGCTCTTCATCCCTTGTGGATCTGGTGCCTGCTCCAGAATCCCAGTCAATCCCTTCTGCACTGACCAGGCAGGGACTTGCTGCTAGACGCAAGAGGGGAATCAGGCTCTTCTCTTGCAGACGGACCTTCTCTGCTCCTGAAACAGGCTGCTCCGCTGTCTGCTCGTCCCTCTGTTGCTCATTGCCTCTGGATTTCACACAGGTGAGATCCTTCTCTGCCCACACACCAGGTCGGTCCTCTGCGAGCTGAGAACATGGCAGTGGGAGTCCGCAGCTGACGGGGTAAGTTGCTTGGGAATCAGGTGATAGGATTGAAGGGGTAAAACAACAAACATTCAAGTGGGATTTGAGGGTCTTCAATGCAAATCAGGATGGAAATTTAGCGTGCTTGATCTCTGAATAAAAGACACCTAAATTCACTGCGCAGGCACTGAGCCACGGCTCAGCTGTATGACCCTAAACCAGTTACTCCCCCCTGTCCCAAGCTGCCCAGATGCAAGTGGTGCAAAACTGGCATTTAGTTTCCACTACAAAATTCCTTCAAGTCCACAGGAAAACAAAAAGAAAAAAACCACACACCAAGAAAACCTCCCCCAAAAAAACCTTTGTACAAATCTGAAAGATTTTTCTTTCTGAAAGTATCAGACAAAGCAGTTTTCAGTGTTTCTTTCAGCAGAGGTTATGCGCAGAACTAGGATGCTGAACAATGCTTTGATCATTTTTTTATCCTGAATAAACATGGATATTTTCAGTAAAGTGATGTGAGGCAGTTTCTCTTTTGAGTTCATCATTCTTTCTTTAAATTTAATTCCTAAGTGGTTCTACATTAGCTATCACCTCAGCAATCAACCGACAGCTGAAAACATTAACCAGAAAAATCGAGATGTCTTTCCAGCATGGTATCCAGCCCTGTCAGCAAAGAGTGGTCACCCCCAAGAGGTCTCCTTGCTACCCTTCCCAACCGTTCCTCCGAAAGCACAAGAACAGCTCTTCCTTCCCGCTCTTGTGCTCTCACGCAGGGGCTGAGCAGAGCCACAGAGCCCCAGCCCACTGTCTTGCCCCTCGGGCCAATGGTGGGGGCCAAGCCTGGTAGCCTGCTGGTTTTCCCCAGGCCATGCAAGGAGTCAGCTGCAGGGCAAGGGTAGCACATGCCAACGGTGGGGGCCCAGCCTGGTAGCCTGCTGGGGCTGAAAGGCAGCAATCGTGAGCGCCATGGGCCTGCAGAGCTGGGGGCAGCTCTGGAGGAATGAGCAGGGATATTCCCCCCTAAAATTACTCCTCCTCCTACCCCGTAAAGCTCTCACTCCAGACTGACAAGCAAACAGTTCTGCAACGCTCCCCTATTGGGTTGAGGGGAGGAACGCCGTGGTATTAGGAACCAGGTCTGACCTACGAAGGCACAGTTTAGCCTTAGAAGCAAGAAGATCCCATCCATCACTTTGTAACTAAAGCCACACTGTAAGCAAAAGGGCTCCTCCGATCAAGAAAGGTCAGAAAAATCCTTCGGGAGGCAAGTTTCCTCCAGAGCTGGCTCTGTGACTGCTGCTTAAATGGGGACCTGCTTTTGAGAAAAGCCTGGCTGGTAAACTGGCCAAGGTGGGGAAGAGCAGCAAAAGCTTTCCAAATCGAACTGAAAAAACCACCAGGCGGTTCAG